GAGCGCTAACTAAACTAGCATCAGCAGCCAAGTACTGCCTGTGTGTTCTGGACACTTCCACCCCGTCAGAGCGCTGCCCCGGGGTGGAAGTGTCCGTACACAGTCGCACCGGTCAGTTAGGCTGAAGTCCAGCGTAGTGTTCTAACAACACACTAGTTATTATAACAACTATGAACAATAATGAACAACTAATGAGCCTTCCAGCATCAAGCCCTCCTCGTATCTGGACCTCCGTCTGGACAATCCGACAGCCTTGATAACGACATAGAAGAAGGTTTTACATTTAGTGTCTGATTATCGAGTCACGACCTTTTTCCAGTCTAAATTTAAAAAATATATCATAAAGACTTAATGACTTAATGTGTAAAAAGTTTGGACACACATAATTCAAATTTCTACATCTGCAGCTGCACCATTTACAGACCTGGTGGTAACACTTGTGTTGATTTTAGTGGACATGTAGTGATGTAGCATCGGTTCTACATATGTTAGGCGTTCTATGTAGCCACAGGTCAATGCTTTTTTTCCCACTTCATCCTGGAAATACACTGAACCAGGACCGTTTAATCAGTTAAAATTGTAGTTTTTCAATAAACGAGCTCCCTACACGTCTGTTTTCTTGTTCATTTTGTGAAATGCATCACACTCTGGGACATAGAATCTGAAAGGCCGTGTACACCCATGACTCAGCCACACAAGTGTTCTCACTGATTAGCCTGTTTTTGGGTCAGCAGATGAGAATGAGTCCAATCACTCAGGTTAATTAGAAGAACCTGTGTGCGTGTGAAGAGCCTTTAATTTAAAGAACTGAGGAGCAATACGTAGTTTGTGGCTGCTCATTGGATTTTTATTTTTTCTTTAAACTAGAACGGCTTTCAAGGGTTCAAATATATATTTTTAAGCCAGAATGTCGCACATTTCACAGAAGCTACGAGCGCTCACAGCAGAAACTGAGAACCGAGGCTTCGCTGCAAATGAAAGTCCTGATTTAAGAGCAGCTTCACTCTCTCGTGCCATTTTTGGCTCCCCCCGGTGGTGCACTGTGGTTATACTCCTGGGGATGCTTGCTATGGAAATTGTGGTGATGTGGCGTAACGGTGTCGAATGCACAGCGACATGACAAATAACATCTAGGTAGCACTGCAAATAACCCCCAGCATGAATTACCATAGAAATAAGGAGCTTCCAGCCTGCAGACAGTGGAGAAGGTGGAGGCTGTGGTGGAAAGGCTGCTCTTTTTTTTTTAAAGAAGGCATACAGAGTGAATGTGAGCAAGAAGATTTAGAAATACAAACCAGAGCAGTAAAATATGTGTTGTGAGAAAACCCTCGGCTGCTACGACGCAGCGTATCTTCAATACCAACAAAACAAAAACAAAATTAAGTCATTAGCTGCTTTGTGCATTGCTGCCTCTGGAGATTGCTGTGATTGAGTTACACCTTATTAAACGCTGCAGAGAAATCTGTCTTCTGACCTGGATTCATTTTAATTGCACAGGAACACTCGGCTGCCACGGCGAGAGAATCGGGAACTAACTTCAGCTGTGAGCAATGCGCCTCGCTCGAGGAAATTAGGTTCAATATTTCTGAGAAACAACAAAAGATGGCAGAAAGTAGAAAATCTGATTCTTACACAAGGATCGGAAAATGTTCAATACTTGTTACAATCAACACAGAGCCGGAAAACTAAAAGTTTCTAAACAAACATTTGTTTTTTAAAACCAAATATCGATGGACGTCTTTTTGTTTGTTTTTTTGTCAGACATTTTGCATTGTAACTGCATTTGTTCTCAATAACTTTGTTTTTGCAGCAAACATCCAAAACAATCCTTCAGCAAACACACATGTGGATATCACACAGATGTGACTAATGACAATAACACCGGCTGCCATGGACGGAGTGCAGTCTGAGAAAGGGACGTAAACATATCATCAGACAGACCAGCGCCTCTTGTCATCCTCTCTACAAGGACAGATCAGAATAACATCCATCCATCATCTCTACACCTTAATCCTCACTAGGGTCGTGGGGGGCGGAGTCTATCCCAGCTGACTCAGGGTGAAGGCAGGTTCACCTGGACAGGTAACCAGTCTATCACAGGGCTACACTTAGAGACAGACAACCAAGCACACTCACATTCACACCTACGGACAATTTACAATCACCAATTAACCTCAGCATGTTTCTGGACTGTGGGAGGAACCCGGAGAACCCTCAAGACACCTTGCAACCCTGAATTGAGTGTTCTGCTATAAAATACAAGAAAATGTACATCTGACTCGCACCTTTCTGGTTGTGATTCACAAAGTAAATGAAATGAGCGTTCCTGTTGTGCAGATCTGTAGACGATCAGGGACAAACAGATCCATCTTAGTCTCAGAGGGGGGGAAAAAAACATGCTGATGATGCATTTGTAAAAAATCAAGCAACAGCCCCCATGATTAGTGTTTCCTCTCTGATCTGACAAAAATGCAGAAAACTGGATCATCCAAAGAGGACAAAGAAACACAAGCGAAGCCTCCAGAAGCCATGCACAATGCAGACAGTCGCCACAGGATTTAACATCTGTCTGTTTGCAATGCACCACTCTGCAGTGCTGGAACTGTTCTGTGATGAGAGTGCCAGAGCAGAACTTAACAATGGATCGGCTTAGCGTATAACACCGCCGCTCCTACAGAGTTAACTAAGAGGCCACGTTGGAAACACGCAGTTTCTTCAAAGCACTGAATTTAACAGCCGTGCAGCCTTTTTGTTCGTAGTACAGTAGTGGTTCTCCATCTCAAATAAAGCATTTCTGTGTAGTTTATGTTCTTCTACATGCACAAGTTGGCGTGTCAGTCTCCTTTAAACATCCAAATGATCTGACAAAACTAAAATAGATTTTACAGCATTAGTACAACTGTTACTACTATACTATACTATTACTATACTATACATTACTACACTATTACTATACTATTACTATACTATACCATACTATACTATTCCTATACTATTACCATACTATACGTTACTACACTATTACTATACTATACCATATTATACTATACTATTACCATACTATACTGTTACTATACTATTACTATACCATACAGTTACTATACCATACTATTACTATACTATACCATTACTATATCATACTATACAATTACTATACTATCACTACACCATACTATTACTATACTACTATACTATACCATACTATTACTATACTATGCTATTACTATATCATAGTATACTATACTATACTATACCGTACTATTACTATACTATACCATACTATACTATTACTATACTATTACTGTATCATAGTGCACTATGCTATTACTATACAATACCATACTATACTATTGCTATACTATACTGTTACTATACTATTACTATACTATAACTATACCATACTATACAATTACTATACCATACTATTACTATATCATACTACACAATTACTATACTATCACTATACTATACCATTACTATACTATTACTATACCATAGTATACTATGCTATTACTATGCCATACTATTACTATACTATACGATTACTATACTATTACTATATCATAGTATACTATAATATTACTATACTATACTAAGGGACCCAACAACCACATTTCTTTCTTTTTTAAAGGAAAAAACACAGCAAATTATTTTGATTTTTTTTCCCAGAAAAGAGAATGCATATGTTGACTTACTGTAATTTTATTTTTTTTTCCATGAACAAAGGACTGTGTTTATACCACCACAGTAAATTGTACACCATTTACTGTACATTACGACGAGAGCACTAAAAACAGAAAAGTGAAAGAACCTTTGGTTCCTGGACACATGTATGAAAAGCAGACTTTACAGCAAAGAGTATCAACAGTTTTAAAATAGAAATTTAAAATAGTTAGAACACAATTGAGTACAAGAATAGCACATTTGATAAAGATTTCCTCATAACCCACAGTAACAATAGCGGTATCAGAGATTGTTCTTTGCCGTCATTCAGCATTTTTTTCTTTTTTAATGGTCATAAAATACAAAATACTATCATATATTTGAGAAAGGACACTGCCCCATAAGGAGCAAGAGGAGTAATATTTTTGAGTAAAAATGTGAACAGCAATAAACCACGTGATATAGAAACCTACTGCCAGTCAGAAGAGGAATGTTTCAAACTGCACCTCAGTGGAGCATAAAATTAATCAAGGATGTAAAGCAAGAGATGAAAAATGTGTTTGAGCTGCGGTGGTTTCACATTGTATGTGTTTGTTGGCAGTAAATCAATCTGTGATCGGTACTGTTGTGTTGTTTTTTTTCTCCAAGCAGTGCCTTGGATGTCTGCTGTATCTGCTTTACAGAACAATGTCAATAAATACTGATCTCCTTTGTATCGTAGGCCTTTAAATGTAATTTAAACATACCAGGACGGAAACGTTGTCCTATGATGCACACTTTGCAGATTTATCTACGGAGGTTTTACAACCCCGGTGTTCAGTCAGTCTGAGTTAACTTTGCATCAGAGAACTGGATTCAGAGTCGCTACAGGGAGAAATCTCCGACGCATGTGAGGACAGCAAGAAATGCAAAGACCAATTCAAGCTCAGCTCATTTCACGGCCAAAGTTTAACACTGGAATTAGTCTTCAAAGGCACAATAAAGTATGTACAGCTATATCTCATCCACCACAGACTTCAAAGTAAAGTGCACCATCATCCTATACATTCACATATATGACACTGTGACACAATATCGTCTACGGTACACAGCACTGTGTAACACGCCTCTTCCCTTTTTCACGTCCGAGTCTCGAATTGTTTCCTGTCGACAAAAGTGATATCTCTAATGAGGATTGTGTGCTTGTGGCTCCACGGAGCCAATACTGCCGAAGTTGTCGCAAAAGGTAGGAGAAAAACAAAATTAACATCTAATAAATATGTAAATAACAAAATAAATATACTGTGGCGTGCATGTTATTTTTAATTTAGTAGCTATATAAACAGTATTCATGCTCGAGGAAGAGTTTTTTGTTTGTTTTTTTTCTTTATGTGGTAGATTACATAAAACCCAGTCAACTTTAAAACGTACTGATGTGTAACTGTTAGTTATAATGTACAGATAAAGAAATGTTAAATTTCTCTAAGCACTACGTAAAGGAACAGTGTTGGTTTTTATAATGCTGTTACCGTACAAAATGACCAGAGTTATCAAAACAAACCAGTTGGATCTTCCATCACTCGTTGTGCTTGTTGTCTTCCACTGACCAGGACCACCCTGAGGTCCCGCCCCACCCCCACCCTCCCCTCCCCCAGACACACACTTAAAACTTGAGGCCCATGAAGCGTTTTGGGATATGCAGGACTTCCAAGGTGCTGGGAGATTCAGAGATCTCGAACCAGCCTCGGGGACACATGAGCAGCCCTTGTTGAGAGGACAGGTGGACCAGTTCTCCACTGAGCTCCAGGCTGGGGGTCTACTCGCAGGCCAGCTTGCTGTCGAAGCTGGAGAGGGCGATGGCGAAGGCCTGCAGGGCACACATTGGGTAGTTATAGTCCATGGTGAAGACATCTTCTGCCACGCGGCCGAACTGCATCACGATGTAGTCGGCTGCAGGGGAGAGGAAGCACAGGAGAAGCTGCATGAAAGCTGCTTCTGTGTTAGTTTGTGTTCTTTATTCTTTATCGAGGAAACTCACTGTTAAAACAAAAACTCATCGTGTAGCAATGATTTGAATGAGTACAGGTGAAAGGTATATGAAGAACCCAAAACACCCATCCATCCATCATCTCTACACCTTCATCCTCACTAGGGTCGTGGGGGGCTGGAGTCTATCCCAGCTGACTTAGGGTGAAGGCAGGTTCACCTGGACAGGTAACCAGTCTATCACAGGGCTACACTTAGAGACAGACAACCAAGCACACTCACATTCACACCTACGGACAATTTACAATCACCAATTAACCTCAGCATGTTTGTGGACTGTGGGAGGAAGCCGGAGAACCCGGAGAGAACCCACGCTGCACGGGGAGAACATGGAGACTCCACGCAGGAAGATCCCAGGAACCGGCAACCTTCTTGCTATGAGGCGACGGTGCTAACCACTGATCCACCCTGCAGCCCTGAATTTGAGTGTTCTGATGTAAAATCTACGTCTGACTCGCACCTTTCTGGCTGCGACTCACAAAGTAAATGAAATGAGCGTTCTTGTTGTGTAGCTGAACCCAGAACAATCCTCCTTTATTAAAACGTGTCACAGACCTCAGTGTGTAACATTTTGCATTGAGCTGCATTTTTCTCTAAGAAATTGCTTTTTTAAAATTTCCAATAAAACCATAAAGTTGTTCAATGATCCTTGTTCATTCTGTTGCATTTCATATCCCCCCCTCTCTCTCTCTGGTCCCTTATTGTTTCCTGTCTGCCTCCATACTGATCACTATCATCAGACAAACAGTGGAAAATAAAAGCAAGAGCAGACCTGGTTTCTCCCTCTTTCTTACCTACTATCCCCCCTGTTCTATATTATAACACCAAACCTTCTAGAAAACAGTTTCCAGGCACCAAACTTACGGTCGTTGTCGTGGATGATTTGGAAATTCTTGACCGAAGCCTGAGTGACTCTGCCGTGGAAGTTGAGCACATAGGACTGTGTGTCATCGTTCCACACGGGCGTCTTGTTGTGAAGTTCAATCACGCTCTCTGTGTTCTTGTTCTGCCACCTGGCCAGCAGTGACTCATGGTCCTGCAACGAGGAAGAATAGAAGAGCTCCGGGCACGGACAAGCATCGATATCGGATCAATTGCATAAGTATTGGAAGAGGTCGAACTGGTCGGCACTGACGCGACCGTTAGAGAAATTAGGTGACACATACGTTTCGGGGGCGAATAGAAACTCTCTCGTGGTCCATGTTCATTCCGGGAATGATGACGCTCATCTTGCGAGGTCCTTTGAATCCTAAGACATTGGTTTCCTGGATCGAAAAGATAAAAACTGTGCTGAAAAAACAAAATACCAACGTATTATATGGTACATTATTATATAAAATGTAAATTATGGGCGATATAACATAGACAAAAGCCACAGTTCACATGTTTCTATCTGTCTTCTGTAGCTGAACTTGATAAAACAAAGAATGCTTGTTCTCTTTTGAACTAACAGCTACAGCTTTCCTAATGATGGAAATGTTATTGTGGATTATGGAAATTTATTTCAGAACGCAATTAATTTCATTTTCCTTCACAGACATTCTACTGGATTCATGCTTTAGCTGATAACTTGATGTTAAATGGATTATTGCAGCACCCAGACTCCCTGCTTTGTTCTGTGTATCCACCACACATGAACCTGTGTGTTGTATTTATCAAAACAAAACAAAACAAAACCTACATATTCTGTTGTGTTGTTGTTGTTGGTGATCATCTAAACGTCTGATCCTAAATTATTGTTGGTGGGTTATGAGAAAAATGACATCACTTCACATCATGTAAACAATAACTTCATAGTAGTTTGAATCATTTTGGAACGCCGTTGTTGTGAGAACTGTACTTGACCGACTCACATAGCAAATGGCTGCTAGCTCCTGACGCAGACTGCTAGCTTCGAGGCTGGTGGTGCTCTTCATGGGGTTCAGGCCGCTGTCGTACACGGTGAACTTGGTTCCCATGAGGTTCGATCTGCAAAGAAAGCACGGCACACCGAATAATCTGATTAGTGAAACAACCCATGAGAAGCAGTTTAAAGGACGTTTATTCTCCAGTGTGTCCCTGCATAGCTACAGTGTGTCCAGACTCTGTGATTGTAAATAATCCTGCAGGCAGAAACATGAGCTGCTAAATTAACAACAACAGATCAACAGGAGCAGCTCCAGCTCATGACTAACTTGTGAAATGCTGACTGTTGACGGACTCAAAGTGTTGATCACAGACCTGGTATTGAAGCGTATGATTGAGACTTGTTAGCTGCCTTGAAGTGACTTAAACTGTTTGTTAATAACCATGTAAACAGAAGAAAATGCTTCTCTGCTCTTGTCATCTTTAATCTAATTTCTAATTCAGCCTCTCTTGGGGTCAACGCTGCACTATAAATACACCGATCAGCCACAACATTAAAACCACTGAGACATCACATGCATGACAGACAGGCCGCTCTGAACTTCTCCAGCAGGACTCTGAACGTTGTCAGAGACTCCTCACACCCTCTCCATCAACGTTTCCAGAACGTTAAAGGAAGAACCTCCAGATTGATCAACACAAGCTGTCAGAACGCTGAACAGCTGATCCGGATATGCAAACACTTCTTTATTTAATTGCTTCTAGTTTTTGGATCCTGGAGAAACGCTCTCTCATCCTGTTTGTACAGCACAATGACAATAAACTGGATCTGATTTGATTTCATGCCGTATGACATCGATCATCCTGCTTCGATGCAGCGTCCTGCTGGGAAACCTTCGGTCCCGGCATTCATCCGGATGTTACTTTGCAAAAAAAACTCTAAAACTGCAAAGCTGTACGTTACGAACACGTCTCAGCAACATCTCAAAGAACACAACAGAGAGCCTGAGGCATTGCCCCGGACTCCCCACATCGCACTTTGATCTACGATCTGTGAGATGTGCTTGAGAAAAAAGAAACCCCCAGAGGTCAGAGCTGTACAGATCTACACAATATGATGAGTCAGTAACTACTGGTCACTTCTGCATCAGACTGTAAACCTCATTTCTAAGTGTTACTCTCAGATATCCTTTTTCATGACATGTTTAAATGAGACAAGTACGACATCATACCACAGAGTGAGCAACTCTCTAAACAGCACAATTACCACCAATATGTGGTTCACAGGATGAATTAAATATTAAATCAACTCGATATTGAAGGTGTTTTTCACCAACTGCTCTCTGATATGAAGCATTTATTTGTCTCGTTTTGCTCTGTTTGTAATTCTCACTTATATTTACATTAGTGCTGTACATGAAAGTGGCATCATAGGTAGAACCATTTAATCACTTTTTTCTTCAAGGCACGGCTTTAAATAGCTGCCTGTATACCTCTTATGCTCCAAACCTCATTTAGAGAAGCTCTCTTGAAGACTCTTGAGCAGCGCCAGATGAAAGGTCACTGTTCATTTAGATTTAGAATTCTATCATTCAAGCAGGACTGTGATTGCCGAGGTTTGAGCGGCGCATCGACCAATGGTCAGGCCGGCTGTGAAGATGAAAAGGCTACAGGGAGCCATATTTGATTAAACTCCATCGGACTTTAGATTGAGCCGCTAACGCGGCCTTGAAGCTGTCTCTGAGGATTATGTTCCTACTCACTTTGTACCATTCCTGGCCTCAAACTTTAAAAGAACATTTCTTTTTTTTTAGCACGAGTGATGAATTGCAGAGAGGTTCCGACGATAACAGAACAAATTCATTGATTTAGCAAAATGAGTTCAGGACATGAAGTACTTGTACTGAATGCTGGTTTGCATCTGAGAACATCTGAACCTGTTGTAGGTGCCTGTTGTCAGTTTTTTGTCATAGAGGCTCAAGTTTAAAAATGAAAAAATGGGGCTGGAAACAGTAAATGCAACCAAAGATTAAACCCAAGTAGCACCGCCGGGGGGAAAAACAAGAAAACACGTCCAGCATTCAACATCTCTCACAGCGAAGCCACCGAGGACTCACCTCAGTTTACCGATGAAACTCTCCCCACCTCGAGACAGATCAGTGGGATCAATGGAGATGAGGTAATTTGATGTTTTACTCTTTTTTCTCTTCCTCCCAGCCAACAGGAACACCTGTGACGAACCAGCACAGACACTAAATTAGCACAGATTGCACACAGAGCTTCCAGTGGACTAAAACAGGTTGAAAGTATTTGCACTTCTCTCATTGAAATACACGAAAACATGTCGGTGAACCTGTCCGAGCCCTCTCACCTTCTTGCCGTCCTCTCTCTCCAGATGAAGGTAGTAGGTGGGATACATGCCTCTGTCCATGCCCTTCTTGTCTCTGGTGATTCTGCACTTCACTCTGACCCCCTGCGGAGCGGGTCGCAGAGAAAACTCCTCAAGGTCATCGACGTCAATGGCGGGTTCATTGACTGGTGGAGTGGGTGCTGAGGCCACCTCCTGCAGGAGCAAACAGCCCACTCAGGGCCAGACCCTTGATGAGATGGTGGACTGGTGAGTGATGCATTACAGGTGACCTTCATTAAAACCAAGTAATGAGTCTGAAGATCAAACCGTCTACAGAGACTTGGAATGAGCACACTGTGTCTAAAATAAGGAGCTGGTGTAGAGACAGAAGATTGAGTTGAGTGAAGGGAATGATTAGAGCCGACCGAGGAGCAAAGAGAAGCGATGGTTATCATGACGGCGTGTACACACACCACAGGCTGTGTGTTGTATTAATATACGGTCAGATTGTAATCTAAGCTACAGCATATTGTGTTAAGAAGAAAACAAGTCAGTGTTTTTGTCTTGTTCCTCTCCATCCTGAATGTATTATTCAGTGACAGTGTCGCATGGAAAAAGTTTCTGCACCTCCAGGCTAATGACATCAACAAAAGCTAATTGGAGTCAGGAGGTAGCAAACCTGGAGGTGTGGGTTGGAGCTACTTTGACTTGCAAATATGACTCACACATTTTTAGTTTGCTATTCACTAGAAGCATTTACTGATGTGAACCGTGTCTCTCTGAAAAGAGATCTCAGAGGACTTGTGATCAAAAATGGTTGATTTGCATAAAGCTGGAAGGATTTTTATCCATTTGTTTGTCCTGTATTTAGCCAGGAAGGTCCCACTGAGATGCCATATCTCTTCTGCCAGGGAGTTTTGTGGGAGTATTGATCAATCCGCAGTTAGACACGATGTCTATAAACAGAGACGGTTTAGTGCCGTGGCCACTCTCTCCAGAAGTGGGTGCCCGGCGAAGACGATGCCAGAAGCAGAAGGCAAAATGCTCGCTGTGGTAATACAAGAAACACAGTTACAGTGTGAGAGCGATCACTGGAGAGGATTAATGTTTCTGTTCATTAGTCTGTCGTACACAAATCATTTCAATGGAGCGCGTTGTCCATGGCAGGAAACCTCACAGGAAGCTGCTGCTCTCCAGAATAACATCACTACATGTTTGAAGTTTGCTCCTGAACACTTTATAACACTACAGCACTGATGAAATATGAATTAATTAAAATTCAATCCCAGGTTTATCATGATATCTTGCTGTGGGGACGGCTGCTGGTCAGCTGCTGTGTGACGCAACAGGACAATAACCTTTAACATCCAAGCAAATGGACTTCAAACAAAGAAAATCTACCTTCTGCAGAGGCAGAGGCAGAGCCCAGATCCTAACTCAATACAGACACAGTGAAACGGCCTCAGGAGGGCCGTTCACACCAGACATCATTACAATATGGCGAAGTAGAAGCAGCGTTGTAAGCAGCAACGGTCCAAAATCTCTCCCGAGCGATGCGCAGGTCTGATCTGCAGCTACAACAAATGAGATGATTGCTGCCACAGGAGGGTTCGACCGTTTATTAAATCCAGGCTTTCACTTACTTTTTCCATGAGCACTGTGGATGCTTAATGGTCGTCTTCAGTACAGACATAAGAGGCTCATTTGTGCATCGTTATATGAAGCCCATTGTACTCGTCTATACTTCAGACTAGTTCTCATTTTATGAACAATTCATGCACAAAAACATGTAACTCCAAAGACTTCAGATCCTTTTTCTTGCCAGCCGATAATACACCTGGAATGGGGAAAAATAAACCCACATTTCTCATCTG